CCAATACCATCATCCTGGACCTTTGACACCAAGTCCAACAAAATTCAACGAGAAGTTCCATCGAGTATGGTACCAAACCTTCCCAAACCTACATGTACCTGTACATGTGTAGCCATACATGTACTAGCTGTCGGAGTGTCATGGATACTGGGCTGTTCATGTAGTAATAGTTTCCTCTTGTACCTATAGGCACAGTACTATGGTCCGATAACCATCGGAACCCCTCCACAGAAATTCAACGTTATCTTCGACACAGGGAGTTCCAACTTGTGGGTCCCAGCCTCCAACTGTAGCTTGTTAGATGTCGCTTGTGGTGAGTATCCTTTAACCCTAACCCTACATAATACTACAAATTACTACTTGTAGTAAAATGTAGTACTGAGCGCTGTTGCTTGTAAGAGGACATGATTTTATTGTTCTGTGAAGCCATAAGATACAATAGATAAGACAATGTACCATACAGTGCTGTGGCACTATGAATGCATGGCTTTATTGTTCTCTGTACAAGTAACAATGGAAGTAACCTAGCCAGAAGTAGTAATTTGTAGCGCTAGGTCCTTCAGGCTCAGACTAGTACTTAGTATTTTGTAGTACTGTGTAATGTAAGCCAAACAATATGCTGGCCGTTAGGTTAATCAAGAACAAAAGTGAGAGATTGGAAGGGGATCAGATACCGTCCTACACTGCTGCTGACTGGTGTTACTCCAATGACACGGCAGGCAGTCTGCGGGAAACCAATGTCTCTGGGTACCGGGGGAAGCACATGTATGGTTGCAAAGCTGAAACTTAACAGTGATAAACCCATCCAAAATCCCCCTTCCCATCAGTCCTAAAAGACCTTGGGCTAATTCTCCCTTAGCATTTTGAAATATTGCTACAGTGCTTGTTTTCACAACCTGAACCTTTGGGAGTTTTTTGAAACTTTGTGTGGTTGTTTTGACACCACTTTCGTGGAAATAAGCTACCTTTCTCGTGCAGGGCGCATTTTTCCCGTCAGGTCAACCAAAGATGTACTTGTGCTTGAATACATTACCTGTACCTGGGCTGACACTTTTGTGGCCTTGATGAACCTTAACAACACAAGATGTTTGGATTAAGGTGAAACTTGACATTTTGGTAAAGTGTCACTACGTGTACATGCATGCCAAGTTTTAGAAAATATTGCGTGACTGTGCAGTGAGATGGTTCAAAATAACCCGACTCGTTCAGGGTTAAACACTACTGGTCTTGTGACCGGTCTTGTGACTGGTCTTGTGAATTGTCTCATGAATGGTCATGTGACTGATCTTATGACTGGTCTTGTAGATGGTCTCGTGAATAGTCTTGTGACTGGCCTTGTCACTTGTCTGGTGAATGGTTTTGTGACCGGTCTTGTGAATGGTCTTGTGACTGGTTTTGTGTCTGGTCCAGTAACTGGTCTTGTGACTACAACCAGAAATAACCAGAATAGTTTTACTTTTTGTGATCAAAGGCACCTACTTTTTTCTTAGATTTGCACAACAAGTATGACTCGAGCAAATCGTCCACCTACCAGCCTAATGGCACAAGATTTTCCATTCAGTATGGAACGGGCTCCTGCAGCGGGATTCTGGATATCGACACTGTTCAGGTAAGAAATGGCTTGGAAGCAACTTTTTTATTCAGAACCCAATTCTGTGGATTTTATAAGTGGTCAGTGCTTTCCAGATTAGAGCTTTTAAATGTCTGTCGTAAAATGAAACCTAGATACCGGACCCATGCATTGGAGCCAGACTTCAAAGTTCAACGACCTGCTTTTTGTTTTGTTTTCGTCTATAATGCTTCATAATCAGGGAACATACACGTATTTAATAGTAGCAATGTGACCTTTGAATATGGAAAAGGTCATGACCGATGCCTGTGATTGGCTGAAATGCAGCCCCTATGGCAGATTGGGCCTGCATTTGAACAAAATTGCAGCCTGGAAACAACTAGTCTGGTTCCCTCCCCTCACGGTCCCTATTTGTCAGTTCAAATGTTATGTCAGGTTGCTGTTGTCAAAAACGATGCACATGTACATGTATAACGTAATGTCAAGATGCCTGCCATTTTTCTGAGATTGACCCACGAATACAGCTTTTGGTTTCTGCACATTCTGTGTCATCAAACTCTGTTTAAAAGTAGCAATGATAATCAAGAAAAGAACAATTGGATGATGGTAAGGGGAAAAAGATAATCTATACATGGTTCACATTTATTAAGAAATCTGACGCCAACTGAAACCAAGGTTTCATGATTTATCTTTGTTGTAGGGAAGGTGACAGATCCACCAACCTGCAGGTGGCCAGTCCACCCTTCCTTATTTCCTGATGTAATACCGTAAACGGAAGTTGTAAAAAGCCACTATTTTTTGTGACTCGAGTTGAGTCAAGGTGACTCACCTAGTCATTGTAACATGGTGACTCAAGTTGATACGAGTCATTAGACACAAAATGTCAGGAAGGCTGTTGGTGTCTGCACATATATTTGATACATGTACATGCAAGTCTACACCCTCGCAGAGTGTGAAAATAGCTATTTAGTATTCCTCTGATGTCTGTTCCACAGGTCGGTGGCGACAAGGCTTTGAAGCAGACCTTTGGTGCTGCCGACCACGAGCCAGGCATCACGTTCATCGTTGCCAAGTTTGATGGCATCCTGGGCATGGGCTATCCGCAGATATCCGTTGACGACGTGCAGCCATTCTTTGACACGCTCATGGCCCAGAAGTCATTGGACAAGGACGTGTTCTCCTTCTACCTCGACAGGTGAGACAAATACAATCAAATCAGACTTTTCAAAGCATCTTTCACAACTCGCTCGTTTTCTCATTTGGGGTACATCTCCCGGATATTTTTTGATCTGCTGCGTAACTTTGTTTTCTTTCTCAAATGCTTCCATTTCGTTAAAAAACATGTGTCATATATATACAATGTATGTTGCATTTCACACCCATGTTTGAAATGTTTCTTGCCCTTAGTAGCTTTTCTTAGCACACTAAAAGACCAAAAACATGAGGTGTTAATCTTGTCTGGACAAATTATGCATGGCACATGTACAGTTTAATCCTTTGTTTTTAATTGTTTTCACCCCCGAAACTACAAGGCTATGAAGTCAAAATAATTTTCAAAGGACATCGTAGTAATGAGGTTCAACTGTAGTTGCACACTGTGGGCGAAAAAAGCATGTCAGCTTTTTGTTCTGGAGAAAAATGTGTGTCAAAGTGAGGCTGTGGTGAAATAGTCGGGTTCCCAACTGTAGTTGCACACTGTGGGCGAAAAAAGCATGTCACCTTTTTGTTCTGGAGAAAAATGTGTGTCAAAGTGAGGCTGTGGTGAAGTACTCAGGCTCCCAACTGTAGTTGGACACTGTGGACGAAAAAAGCATGTCACCTTTTTGTTCTGGAAAAAAATATGTGTCAAAGTGAGGCTGTGGGGAAGTAGTCGGGCTCCCTCTCATTTTAGAGTATTCAGTGAATCAAGTAGGTTCCGGGAACACAATTCAAACTGGCCGTCTCATGAACAAAGCCCATAACATCATGACGTTTCTTACCTCCTCTTTTGCAACAGGAAAGAGGGAGCTGCAGTTGGCGGTGAGCTTATCTTGGGCTCCTCCGATCCCAAGTATTACACCGGCGATTTCCACTATGTTGATGTCAGCAAACAGGGTTACTGGCAGTTTGCCATGGATGGGTAAGCACCAGTCAGATTGAAGCGCTGATGTACAGTACTGCTTCACGCAGGGAATCATGGGATTTTCCTTGTCGTCACAATGATAGGCATATTCTGACCAAGTCTGTACTCCCGAGTGATCATCTGTACTCGTCCCCACACTTGAGTGATATCCATTGAGTTAGTGCTGATGCAATGACTTTGAGGTTTGGGTGTTGCTCGTGAGCGGTCATTGGCCACAGCTAGATGTTGTTAATGTCGCTCCAAAATATCGTCTTGCAGTTTGCACAGTAAATGTCAATATGGCAAGACGTGTTGCATGAATTCTGAATGACTCACCATGGCATTTGTCAAGTCCAACTATGTGAAGGGCTTTGGTAGTGGTATCTAGTTAGCTTTAAATGTTGGTTTAATTGGCCGAAAGGATTTCCACACTAAGAAATGTGGTTTCAGCGTCTGGTATGCATTGATCATCTATTCAAAATTATTGGGCATTCTCTCATGTCTTCTCATTTCGTCCAGCGTTCAGGTTGTCAAGGACGACAAACCCTTATTGTCGCTCTGCAGCGGCGGTTGCCAGGCAATCTGCGACACTGGAACCTCCCTCCTAGTTGGGCCCAAGGCTGAAGTGGAGAAAATTCAGATGGCGATCGGGGCGGCACCTCTGTTTGAGGGCGAGGTAAATGGATTGGTGGACTGCTTCCACTGGTTCCCATCACCCATGAATTGTGCATAACGGTGGAGAATTAACCTTGCAACCAATTGTCAAGAACCCGCACTACATTAGTATGTGTGTTGAATACCACGGTCAACTAATAGAGTGCTGTCAGTATAGAATGAATGTTCACATTAAGTTTAGGAATGCACAATAGAAAATGTCATCAAAAGTCATTTTAAGCCACAAAACAAGAACACAGAACCCGGGTTCAAAGATATTTGCACACTGTCTAATTTTCGCCTCACTTCACAAGTGTGCCAGTATGTTGCATTGAAAAAAAAAAACACTGCTAAGAGTTACCATAGCGATACACCTGTAACCTGCGAGCGACGTCTTGGTCATTCTGGTCAATCCTACATTACTCACAGTGGTTGCATTTGAGACCCTAGCGGACATAGTTAGAACTTAGGTGATGACTGTTTATGGGCATGGAACCTACTGGGCATGTATGACTAATTACTGTTTAACACATTGACTGCCGACTACAAGTATGCTCGTAGTCACAGGTGCACCGGATTCTGCCAGCACGAGTATACTTGTAGGAAACAAAAGGCTATTGTAATGTAAATTGAATACACTGGCATCAACAAAGAACGCATCAAAAACACACTGCTGGCAGTGTGGAGGGTTTACATCCGTAGAATGCTTATGTTCAAACAGACACCTGTAAGGTACCTAATAATTATGCGGACATGCATACAACGCTTAGCAAATGGAAAGCACCCTTTGAAATTATGCGCGGCAGTCAACGTGTTAAGCGGCAGTCAACGTGTTAAATCAGTGTTTTGATTGCTCAGCCTTTGAGCGCCTTGCCGTGCCTTGGGCATGCATGAGCCCTGTTGAAAAATTCCCCACCTGAATTATCTCTTCTTTGCCAGTGAGGGCGCATTTCGACTCCGGCATTATGACTGTCTTGTCGGCCTTCCGTGCTAGTGCTCCAATTCCTCAAGCGTGTAGAGAGACCCTGTTTCAAAGTTTATTTTTGGTTGACAGTATCTGGTGGAATGCAGCAAGATTCCGACCATGCCCAACGTGACCTTCACCCTGAACGGGAAGGTGTTTGTGCTGACCCCCCAAGACTACGTGCTGAAGGTGAGCGACGCGTCCCTGAACACAAGAGGGCGCTTTAAAGCTTTGACCTCTCCTCAAAGCTTGCACATCGTTGACCTCAGAATTTGGTGTTACATAGCACCCAGAATAATTGAAAACATTCCTGTCCTTGGCTTTAATATTTGGAGTTGCCATATCCAACTGAACCTAGAAAATTATGCTGTAAAAGCGGATCTTTCTATTCACATATTCCTAAAATAACTTGTGCCAACACCAGAGCCCAATTTTCATGCGCAGCATACTGTCCTGCAAGGACGTTATTTTGTAATCTTTTTTTTCCCGACACATCGACCAGGATGAAGTGGTTTTGTCTTGTGTGTTTGTACTCACTACAGCCTGCTTTCTAAATTCTGAATGTCTTCAACCACTCAAAACATGACTATAGAGGGTTTGCAAGGCAAGGTATGCACAAAGGAGGTTGCCATGTTGAACAAAAGAGTTGCCCTGCAAGATGGCTACCATGCAAAGCCTCTGTAGCCTCTCTGGCCTGGTAATGAGTTGTGGTGATCTTTTTCAACAGGAATCGGAAGCGGGCGAGACCCTGTGCCTCAGTGGTTTCCTGGGAATGGACATCCCCAAGCCCATAGGCCCTCTCTGGATCCTGGGAGATGTCTTCATCGGCAAGTACTACACCGAGTTTGACCGGGTCAACAACCGCGTGGGCTTTGCCACAGCGATCAAGGGAGTGGACATCAAAGTCCACAACTAGACAGAGACGGGTGACAAACCACCCCTCCTCCAAACCTCATCTCTCAGGCCATTAACAGATTTATTTTGGTTCACCTTCCTCTGATGTTAATTGAGGAATGCAGCAGATTCAGCCAGAAAACAGGCCGCCTGGAAAGTTTTTTTTTCATTTGTCTCTTGATGTCATTTCAACATTAGCCCATGACGACTTTTTTAGAATACTTTTTAGGTAGTTTTAGTGGCATAAAAAGCCGAGCGTTTTGTGATGTGAAGGCTTGCTACTTTGTCAGTTATGAATTTCACTTCCGTCTTCGTCAGTAATTGATTGTTAAAGACGTGTATAGGGAAGGAATATTTTAGGAAAACATATTGGCCATTCCCGCGGGAACAGAATTTTCTTAGGGGGTGCTGAGGTTGTAAAATCATAAATACCCAGGGTTTTTCGGTGAATCTCTGACATTGGTGAGTTTGGTTATGTTTGTGGCTTAACGTGATCAATGTTGGGGGCGCCATTTTGTACACCACCACCCCGGTCCAAAAAAATTAGCGGTGCTTCAGCGCCTAGAGTGCTCCCCATCTCGGCCGGCTTGATATCGGCTGATGTGAAATATTTCTTAGATGGCCTGTGATAAAACGGGCAAATACATGTGTCAGACGTAAAATTAGTGCAATCAGATACATAGATCATTTCAAGTTTTTGGATAATCAAGAGTCAAGTCAATAGGCAGAAGTCTCACCATCGGCCAAACAAGGGACTAGAAAATACTGAATATCGCTGAATGACAAAGGCGATGCATGTTGCTTGTACGTGTAGGCTTCTCTCTATACTCCAGATATTTTTGACGACATTTACGTTTTGCATGATCTTTGAGACTCTATATGCAATTATTTTTCTTAACCAAACTATGATACTAGTTTTCAGTTCCATTACTTCTTAACCCTCATAATAACATCCCTCAGTGTGTACTTACTTTTGGATAGAGGAGATATTGTTGCAAAGTAGGCTGCTCGTGGACACAAATGTTGAATTCATCATTGGCTGGACTTTATATCCTCAATTGTTACATGTACTGGTTTGTAAATTAATTTTTGGGTTACATAATGCGATGTCTGAAATTTATTGCAGCGGTTGTAATAATTTTTTTCTTCAAAGGCAGGAAATTCAGTTTAGTCCTTAATCGTAGTATTTGAGGCAATTCGTGAAGCAGTTTAAGAATTTTTTAAAATGACATTTCAAATGTTAAAAGTTTTCTTAGCAAGTGCTGTCAGTTGTAATCGGGCATTTAACCGCTTGGTATTATTTTAGAAATGATGAACTAATTTTATTTTTCTTCACTAATTTGGCTTGATATAGAAGTGTTGAGATGTTCATGTAATCGATAGTTTTAGTCGATCGGAAAACTTGGTGTTAGAATGTAGGTGCAGTGCCAAATTACAAACTGTATCTTCGTCTATGAGAAAGTTGATCGAACATTTTTGATGTACCATTTCATGACCCACGTGTAGTTGGCATTTTTCTTGTAACCTGTAAGTCATTTAAACATTTTTTAAGTGTTGTAAAATGTCGCAATGTTTCAATGGATCAGACTATCCAAAGTTGAAATTATAAACTAGCTAGGGCAATTCCCACAACCAGACAAAAAGAACTCGTATATATAAGATACTCTTAGGTCTTGCAAGAAAGATTGATCAAGATACAGAAAATTTTGCACGCCAGAGCTTTGTAGTTAATACAAACACTATAAACAGAGTAATTTTCTAAGGGAACCAGGACTGTACCGTAAGTCTCGGCACGAAATTAAGAAAAACGAAATTGAATTGAAAACAAATACGCAGTTTTTCATCACTTTTGTGTTATGTCATTCGAATACAAGCCCTTTACAGACAGTGGTTATACTTCCAGAAGTTGCGCAGGACACAATATCGTCTGACGGAATTGAAGTTTTGAACTTATCAATCTGGCATATCGATAAGTAGAGAGATTTAAGTTGAAGGTACCCGCAAACATACTCCCCAATTCCCTGATGTGAACAGTTTGAAGCTTTCCGCGTTGAAGATTTGTCAACAACGTGCCTCAGCTATCCAACCGCTTATTTCTGTCCGAATTACTAAGTCCCACATGAAAGTATAAGTATTCGAATTTTCGTCGAAATTTTGCATGCCGCGGTAGTGTCGTGGAAATGCGTCGGACTTGGAGTCACACGACGTGGGTTCGAGTCCGGGGGTGGACCCTTTTCTTTTTTCCTGACTGAGGGGAATCTTTTAGATAAATATATGGTATTCGGTTCTCTGTTTGGGGACCCAAACAGCGCAAGCGGTAAGGGTGCTGCCGGGAGAGCGAAGGGTCCCTGGTTCGAGTCCCGCCCAGGACGAAGACCTGTCGCAGAAGACGATCCACGGCCAGCAGGATAAGAAGCAGGATAAGAGGAAAGAATATTATTATTTTTTACCGAGTCAATTTTACTAAAAGGAAAAAGAAGTAAAACCCCTCACAAGTGGCACCAGCGGGGATCGAACCCGCAACGTGCTTACTGAGAGGTAGAGTGCATGTCCACTATGCCAAACCACTACTTCTTAAAAGATAGTGTTCGGAAGTTGTATTTCAATAATCAAATGATGCAGGACAAAACTCGCAGCAGCGCCAATCCCTCGGTGAATCGCACTAAGTTAGTTAAAGACAGTTCTGGAAATGTGTACGACCCTTTCCCATTAAACTATGGAGCAATTACATTCAATGACGCACTGCACTAGTTTTGCAAGTCTTGATTCAAGTGATGGAATCTATGTTTGATGTGGAGGGCAAACGCTGCAGAGCAACTGCATATGAAGACAACTTGGAATATATGCATCGGAAGTGCCAAACTGTAAATGCACATTAAAAGGAATCGTTCAACTTCGTGAATACCGATACATGACATCGGGAAATCTAAGGCAGCAAAAACAATCTAAACGACAAACACAATCACCCAAATCTTTCTAGACAAAAGGGTTAAAAGACAAGAACCTGCCTCTTTTCGTTTGCTTCTTTGAAATATTCATGCGCAGAATGTTTGTTCTTCGAGATCAGCTCAGAAAATTTGTGCACATTCAGAACTTTGGCACATAACTAACTGAGCAAAGTCCCACTTTGAAGTCAGTTGTCAATTACATAGGAGGATCTTGCTTATAAACTGGGTGAAAGAGGATTTTAAAGTACAATTACTTAAATACAGCTTCAACGTAATATCCACAGTGCATATATTTCACAAGAGCAATAAAAATATCAACCACTTTCACATTTCCACATTTTGGATTTTGACATTGAATCCTGACGGTCGATTCGTTTGGAATATACACGCTTACTTACAAATGTAAATCATCATCGTTATTTTATGAAACCATGAAAAAAAATATTCTTTATCTCAATCTTGCTTTACATACAGGGACACATAGGAAAAATAACTTGCAGCAATCGAGTCATACTATAAATTTGGGGTCCATTTTTTTTCCTCGTGTCCCCGTCACATCTGTAATACGATTGTGTAAGAGTGGAACACATTTGATTTTTAAAAGTGGTAAAAGTAAGACGCATCTGCCAAACAAGTAAAAATTGTTCGAAGTCAATTTCAATTATATTTTTTATGTAACACACATAACACACTTGGTCGAGTGAAAAATAGACACAAACAAGTCACAGTTTCTTGGACTCCAAATGTATAAAATGACTCAATATATATACAAATCCAATTAGACGCCGTAACTGCGGTGGCACCGCACTCACACGCACATTCTTCAGCTTGACGCGCGCGTGCATTTGGCAAATCACGACACCCTATTGGTCGAGGAGGCATGTAACGCGTGCGTACCACCTGTCACCGCAGTAATGGCTTCTAAGTCTGCTGGTCGAATTACAATATACAACCACAACCGAAGAATACAAGCGTTTCACAATAGCGCGCCTCCAAGACGGTTTGCCTGTCTAATAAAGTTTTGTTCGGTATCGAACAGAACATCTGTATTTGGGGTGCGTTTACGCACCGTGAGTTTGGACATGGACGGTTATTAATTATCAGTGACACGTGATCGATGTCCCACATATCAGATAACGCAATTATGCAGGCTTTATAATATGCTAAAATTAACTGCCTTAAATTGGTATGCGGTGGTTTATTTTACCACACCACGGGTAGGCCTACAACGCGTTGGCCAATCAAAATGCGCGAAATCTGCCGACCGAATGCGCGTTTGGAAAGGGTCGACAAATTTCGCGCGTTGTGATTGGCCAACGCGTTGCAAACTCTTGGAGGCGCACTATTGTGGATCGCCCTACTCTTGTAAAAACAAAGTTTTCGATATTACACGAGCCATATACTTGTATTCACTTTCTCTGCCAGCAAACTTGCCGCCTTCAACAACAAGACGCGTCTTAGGCGAGTCTTTTCACACAACTCGTCCAAGCTAGGGTCGATTTCACGAAACTTAAGATGCATTCAGTACGTCCTAACTTTCTTACCAACTCGTCTTAATTTTAGATGAATTGCAAGATGAACGAGGTTTGTGAGATCGGCTCAAGTTTGACACATTATCACGTGACTGTATACTCACTGTCAGTGCCGTTAGGTTTGTCATAAATTTGCCACTGAAGCGGTTCGGTGAAACGGCTAGAACAAATCTTTCAATTTTCGACGACACTACACTTGATACCAAGAAAAAAATCACTAAACGTTTTTCCCCAATATTTTAAATGCTTCAATAAAATGTTTGGGGATTAAAAGAGTTAATGCAATTTTCCAACACAAATTCATGGCGTAATTTCTGCTCCAAACCTTGTATTTGTTTCACCTTACTAACGTGGAGTTTACGATTTCGGTCACATGATCATAACATGGAATCGTATTAACCTCCCTGACAATTTCCTTCAGTATTTACAATTTTTGGCTGTTGATTCAGGAACACCGCCCAACATACCGACACCCTGCAATCTTAACGTCCACTGATCAGAATACCAAAATGAATGATACTCCTTCCCCTGAGTTTGAAACTTTAACAGAGCTGAATATATTCAAAGAAACAATTCCTTAGCAGGGCTGCCATCCATTCAATGAGGCAAAACAAATGCCTTGGAACTTAGTATCTAAAGCGATTTGCGACGACAGGTCAGCCAAGAATGTGATTTGTCTTCCATTGGCGTACTCCAGTGGCGCATCAAGGTTTTGGATAGCCGGGGGACAACATGGATTTTTTTTAATCCAAACATTGACACTGCAAAATTTTTTTCACCCATTAAACTTCTTCACTGCCCCCCCAATATTGGTAGCACCATTTCGAAAGTGGTAGAGCTTCCAATTCTACACATGACACGTCCAAATGGCACTATGTCTCCGGAAGAAACTTACCCCCCCCCGGGATACATCACTGGCGTGTTCAATGCGCGCATGCCAGCATGCATGAGGCCTTGAACTATATGACTATTTCAGCAACTCCCTAATGGACGGGACTGAATCTGTAGTCATGGTGAGCGCGACAGAATGCATGCCACGTTTCTAAAAGATCGGTTGTGGGATAGCCGTGGTAGTTCCCTCCGTTCGCCCGGGCAATGGTTCGAAGAGGCCTCGATCTCTGGGGGTTTACGGAGAAAGTTATTTTAAATCTTGCATCCTGGAAATAAGCGTTCAATACGGGCGTTGCACAATAGTGCGCCTCCAAGAGTTTGCAACGTGTTGGCCAATCACAATGTGTGAAATCTGTCAACCCAATGTGCATTTGGATAGGGTCAGCAATATACAGATTGGCTTTAAAGTACGCTAGACATGAAGACGGGCGGCTTGTTCTTGTATGTGCACAAACACCTTGATTTGTTGTTCTTGGGTCGGCCACTCGAACGTACAACTGGTTATCCCTGGCAAGCTACATGACGGCATCCATGTGTGTTATTCGAGAGTGAATGTTTGGATAACTGGGCTGAGTTCAGGTCTATTTAAACAGGAACATTCACTTCTGTGCTTTGGAAAATAATTAATGTTAATTTTGCAAAACTTCCTATTAGCTACGACTTTGTAAGCCATTTCTCTATTTTTTGCAACTGTTCAAAAATCAAAA